AAGGTCTTTTGATGACATTTTGTGGAATTCTGTTTTTTTTTTTTTATTTTTTTTTTATCAAGCTCATGTTTCTGGATATACATGTTAAGTCACCTATGCATAATTCTCTTTTTTTCCTTGAATGGTCTATTGTATTTCCGTATAAATGCATTCTTGTATATGGTATGCTTGTCACCTCAAAGGAAATTGGTTTACAGTTTGTGCTTGGTTCACATCTAGGGCAAAAAGAAATGCTTTCTAGCTTCCTTTATTCTCAGTATTTGTTTCAGTAGGAAGTTAAGCCACATCACATTTGAATATTATGGTTATCCCCATCTTAAAATGAGATGATTTCTTCTGGATCTGTGGTCAATGGTCAGGTCCATCACAAACGACTTATACCATGTAAATACTTTGCCCCCAGATAAACTTCTATCCCTTTTTATTGTTGTTAGGTGCTGTCAAGTTGGTTCTGGCTCATAGGAACCCTATGAGAATGAAACACCGCCCGGTCCTGCACCATCCTCACAATCATTGTTGTTTCAGTTCATTATTGCGGCCACTGTGTCAATCCATCTCATTCAGGGTCTTCCTCTTTTTCGATGACCCTTTACTTTACCAAGCATGATGTCCTTCTCCAGGGACTGGTCCCTCCTGATAACATGTCCAAAGTACCTGAGATGAAATCTTGTCATCCTCTCTTCTAAGGAGCATTCTGGCTGTACTTCTTCCAAGACAGATTTGTTCATTCTTTTGGCAGTCATGGTACGTTCAATATTCTTCATCTACACCATAATCCAAAGGCATAAATTCTTTGGTCTTCCTTATTCATTGTCCAGCTGTTGCATGCATATGAGGTGATGGGAAATAGTATGGCTTGGGTCAGGCACACCTTAGTGTTCAAAGTGACGTCTTTGCTTTCTAACACTTTGAAGATGTCTTTTGCAGCAGATTTGCTCAATGCAATACGTTGTTTGATGTCTCAACTGCATTTTTAGGAATGAAAAAAGTTAAGCTTCGGGGAAGATAAGTTCTTGAAATCTGACGGTTTCCAGATAATGTCAGAATATGATTGCAAGAAAAATGACATGAAATGTACATTAACATAAATCTATAACCGCTCAACTTGATGAAAAATATCACCATAAAATTCTGCCATCACTGAATCAACTGATATGTTTTTTTTTCTTTGACATTTTGTGAGAATGAATAAATTATCTGAGAGTGTGTTTGCATCAAAAATACAGAATTTTGTAATAAACACATAAATCATCCAAGCATTTTCCAGCAAGATGCATGGTTCTAAAAATGGGAAGCATTCACATTAATTCCTTCCTTCCAGCTTCCTTCTTTGTATATTACCTTAGTGCTCTGGGGGTGCTGGAGAACCATTAATTATGAAAGAGTAAGGAAGGAGGATATAAAGAAAATAACTCTTATTAAGAAAGTTTTCCAGGCAGCCTCCCCCTCACTCCCTACAAGCCTCAACTTCTGTGAGCCTTACTTTTACCGAGGTCCTCTCTGGACTTATTTCCTCAGTTTACACCAAGGTCTACTTTAAAGAGCAATCATGTTTTTTATAGTCATGGTATCCATTATAACAGCTAACGTCCCCTATAAAATGGCACTTAACCCTGAAAAATAAATTCTTGTACAAGAAACTTTGCTCTTCCTGAGGAACTGATTTACCTTTTTCACTATGGGTAATTAATATCACACACAGGAACACAATACCCTTTTTGGTTTGACTACCAGGAAGCTCAGAGGCAATTTTAATAGCATTTAGCTATGTGTGCCCTAGGATCTTGAGTTTTATCTTTATTGTAATCATATCATCTCTTTATATTTTCTCTGTGATTTTTCTTTTCTTTTATTATCTGGTGCAAATTGTTATTAATTACTTCAGCATTGCGCAAATCTATGCAAAAGACATCTTTAAAGTGTTGAAAAGCAAAGATATCACCTTGAAGACTAGGGTGCGCCTGACAAAGCCATGGTGTTTTCAATTGCCTCATGAGCATGTAAAAGCTGGAGGATGACTGAGGAAGACCGATGAAGAATTGATGCCTTTGAATTGTGGTTTTGGTGAAGAATATTGAATATACCATGGACTGCCAAAAAAATGAACAAATCTGTCTCAGAAGAATTACGAGCAGAATGCTCTTTAGAAGCAAGTATGGCAAGACTATGTCTCACATACTCTGGACATGTTATCGGGAGGGATCAGTCCCTGGAGAAGGACATCATCCTTGGTAAAGTAGAGGGTCAGTGAAAAAGAGGAAGACCCTCAACGAGATGGATTGACACAGTGGCTGCAACAATGGGCTCAAGCATAACAATGATTGTGAGGATGATGCAGGACAGGGCAGTGTTTTGTTCTGTTGTACATAGGGTTGCTATGAGTTGGAATTGACTCAATGGCACCTGACAACAACAACAACACTTCAATATCTTTGTGACATGAGGCAAAGTGTACATAAATGTACGCATAGATAGAAAAACAGATGCATTGATATGTAAAATAATGGCTAAAGCAGCAGCCAAGGAAACGAGAGTGGATATCCTCAGTAAACCATGAAAAGAGAGTACTTGAGAAGTCCTCTTGTCTGGTTTCTCCCCAAGGCTCATTTCTCAATGACCACCTATGAGTCGTACCATCATGACTATTTAGCAAATGATTGCAGTCTGGTCCAGGACCTCTCTGTGCTTCTGGTCCCTTTCTCTGTCAAGTGGAATGAAAGTACTTTCTCTACATAATTCACCTGGTATCTCTAAGGACCAAAATAGATGAGTTAATGGAGAAGATTTCTGAATCAAGTGCTGCATACATCAAAGCCATTGTTAAGGACTAAAGAGGTACTGATATGATAGCTCCCCTAGTTTCTGGGAGCTCAGGAGTGGGATAGAAGGCAGGGAGGCGGTGATCTGTGAGATTGTGCAGGATGGAGTTCAGCGACGGACTAGGGAACTGCATTGTTTCCACCACTGCAGGGTCCGTTTGCCTCCTCTCATGCCACTTGGCTAAAATGAATAGTCATAATAGCCCTGCTCACATCACATATTAAAGATGAGGAAGAAGATTCAGAAAGGTTAGGTGCCTTACTTAAGCTCACACAGCCAGGAAAGGGCTGTGTCTAGGTTTTCATCTACTGTCATTTGTCTTTCTGCCATGCTTCTTGTTGGGGGTATCTTCTGTTTGCCCGTCCAGGTCCACTTTCCACTTTCTCCATCCTGTCCACCCATTCTCTACTCTGGGAGAATGACCTGTAAGGGCCACATATGGGCTGACCTACCCTCTGGATTCTGGTTGGGTTTCCCATTGGGAAGACCCAACGGGAGATCAGAGGAGGAAGGAAGAGAGAGAGGTTGGGTGTTTATTCCCTTGGCTCCCTGCTTGTGAGGTTGACTTGGTCTGGTGGTGGCTCTTGGTCAATGATCACTCCTCCTCTCAAGATGGCTTGTTCTACACGACTCACTCCTGGTTTTTTGTGACTGTTCCTTCATCTTTTTGCTTTGTTCCTGCCCTATCTCATGTTCCTTCCTTACACCCCACACACCTTGGTAAATGGTTCCTTTGCAAGTAAACTTCCTTGAATTACCCTAATATAAGCGTTCCAACTGTTTCCTGTCAGACCCTGACTGTTACACTTTCCCATTAAAGCACATGTGGTGTTAGTAAGGCATTATGTAATACAGCATTAGACACATAAAAGGTGAATTCAGTGTGTTTAAGTTATTGGGGAATGTAAATCATGGGACCGACTTTTTTTTCTATCGGGTATTGTAAGAGGAGATGGAGGCAGAGTGGAAAATGGTGAGAGAAGTTATAGTGGATTGTTGTTGTCGTTAGGTGCCATTGAGTCGGTTCTGACTCATAGCAACCCTGTGTAAAACAGAACAAAACACTGCCCAGTCCGGTGCCATTCTCACAATCTTTGCTATGCTTGAGCCCATTGTTGCAGCCGCTGTGTCAATTCATCTCGTTGAGGGTCTTCCTCTTTTTCGCTGACATTCTACTTTACCAAGCATGATGTCCTTCTGCAGGGACTGGCCCCTTCTGATAACATGACCAAAGTATGTGAGATGAAGTCTTGCCAACCACGCTTCTAAGAAGCATTCAGCCTGTACTTCTTCCAAGATAGATTTGTTTGTTCTTCTGGCAGTCCGTGGTATATTCAATTATCTTCACCAACACCATAATTCAAAGTATCAATTCTTCTTTGGTCTTCCTTATTCATTGTCCATCTTTTGCATGCATATGAAGTGGTTGAAAACACCATGGATTGAGTCAGGTGCACCTTAGTCCTCAAGGCGATGTGTGTGCTTTTTAACACTTTAAAGGGTCTTTTGCAGCGGATTTTCCCAGTGCAATACATCGTTTGATTTCTTGACTGATGTTTCCATGGGTGTTGATTGTGCATCCAGATAAAATGAAATCCTTGAAAACTTCTATCTTTTCCCCATTTATCATGATGTTGCTGATTTTGGCCCACTTGTGAGGATTTTTTTTTTTTTTTTTTTGAGGTGTAATCCATCCCATTAAATTTCTTTGGCTGTCTTCCACGTGTGCTTCTAGCACTACTGACACTGATTATTTCCTTTCAGGCTCCTATC